CGCACGCGGCATTCGTTCTTAATAATGTAGTTGATGCTTAAAGATCATACCTTTAGTAATATACGTAAATGTAGATAATCAATTAATAGAAACTTTTGGAACTGTTTTTATTAAAAATGTTATTCGATGTGTAAAGTGCGAATCGACATTATTACAGGTTTCCATTTCAAACAAATTTTGAAATAAACAATTGTAACGAACACAGGCAAACGTACGATCACGTATATGATCTTTCAAGTGTTGAGACACTATGTCATAAATAATATAAATAAAGTATGAACTTGTGCTCAAACCGTCTTTCATTAAACAATTTTACAGTGAAGGCAAACCCGTCTCGAAGTTTTCGAAAATAACAATTAGCGATAACTGACTAAAACAATGTAAGTTTATCTGGCTTTGAGTGACGGAACCATTTTATCTAAATGCTTACCTGATTTATTACAAAATGTCCTAAATAAATCTTGCAGCACAGTTATTCAACTAGACACTTAATCAACGTTATAATCTCCTAATCCAGTAAGAGTTTGATGGAAAGTATAAGTGAACTTTGGAATATGGTCTGTAGTACGTTATAGGAGATAAATGGATCTTGTTATTTATTAAGCGTAGGTATGTACAAAGGGTCCTAAATTATATGAATTCATCGTCATAAAGTCATCAGTCCTAAGACTGGTTGGACACGCGCCTCCACTTTTTCCTATCCTAAGCTAATCTTCGTACTTCCTAAAATATCCCACATCCTTAACTGTTTATGTAATCTAATCTACGTCTACCTCTAATCCTTCTAATGTGTCTCTGACTAGCCCTTTATGCCTGAGAATGTCCTACCAACCTCTCTCGCCTTTTTTTTATCGATTTCCATAGAATATGATACTTGCGAGCTATAAGTACCTACCACCAACCACGAAGATCGAGATTTATGGTATTTTTAGTGGCAAAAAGGTATACGATCTTGAAAGCGTAACAGTTAAAAGCTTGAGGTAAAAAAAAGCAAAACTAACATTGTGGCGAACGCGAGATATAAGTTCTGATATCATCATCATAAGGTCGTCAGTCCTAAGACTTGTTGGAAACGCACTTCTACTCCTTCCTATCCTGAGCTAATATTCGCATTTCCCTAAAGCTAGAACATCCCACATCGTTAACTATTTGCGAACAGTAATCTAATCTAGGTCAACCTTTACTGCTCTTAACTCCCGTTTCTGCTTCTAAAATGTCTCTCACTAGACCTTCATACCTGAGAAAGTGTCCTACTAACTTATCTCGCCTATTTTTTATTGACTTCCATAAAGTCTTTTGTATCTTTCGAATTTCTAAATTAACCGTTTACCCCATGTTTATAAGTAGGTAGCACGATTTTGTATTCCCTTACCCTGGTTTGTGTTTTTAAATGACAATTGAAAACATAAAACTTCTAATTGACATTGAAAAAAAAAACAAAATGTGTGCTGAGATAGTAGAAGTGAAACTTCAACGGATAAGCGGAAATACGAATCGAACATTAGTTTTTTCACTTGTCTAAGTTGAAGTTTTAGTTCTACTATGTGTCCCAGTGTTACAGGTTTACTGCAAATTATGATTTAGTTTTAACACAGAGGCAATGATACCTAACCACGTAGAGAGCAAAGGTAAGAAAACAACAGCTGAGCACAGCACACGCCGCCGGGACTCTAGCGGATTCTTTGCTCTCCGCACGGCTTATATCCATATAATATAGCCGTAGCCCTCTCTCCACCGCAGCCAGCCTTTCTCACTCTCCGCCGCTGCCGCTTTTCTCCACGATATACCGTCTACCCCCTCCACGCGGTCGTAACGCTTTTTTGTGACAGAAAAAATCGTAATACTCCCCGTCTATATAGAAGTTTCACTTCAAAGGTTCATAAATAGCGTTCTTTCGGTAAAGACTAGGTCATTTTATATGTTGAAACACAGGTCAAAATAGCTCTCTCATTTCAGTAAGAACTTTATTGCAGACATCGCCTTCCTAATTTGACCTTTTTGCATATACAGATCAATTACATATCAATTTGATCGATAGTAAAAGGGATTCTTTCTACTTTACCTGTACAAGTATCTACTTCAACAAAAATATGTACGTTCAAAGTTTATAAAAGAAGTTTGTATTCTCTTTTCCCGGTTTGAATATTTTAATGCCAATTTTTCCGCGACTTTGAAGTTTGGTTTAAAATGGAATTCTCCTTCTACGAATCGAGACCTATTATTCCCTTTGAATGCCGAATCGTGCGTATCGTGGCCTACGTGATATTAGGACGCGACAAGCTCGTGAATGTCAATTAGGAGTCTATTCGTACTTGGGCTCGTTAAAACGTCGTAAAAGTTTTACCACCTGGGAGTTTCGTCTCGCATTTCATACACATGTTCGTCTGTGCTTACATTAGATTCACAAGAAGAACGATTTCCTTATGTTTTCCCCATTAGTTTTACAGTCCTTATCTCGTAGCAAACAACTCAGGGGTGAACTAGTTTATTACATTAACTCATTTACACCCTTTGTATACAACGTAAGGGTTATAATGAATTATAAAACAAATGTGCATTATCGTTATACATTTTGAAAGCACCCTGATGAGGGTACCTTTTGCAACAATTATTCATTACCAGAATGTAAAGACATAGACAAGGCACGCGCCCACTTTTACCATTCATATAAAAGAAAAGAATATTTTTGAATAATTTCTGCTCTGTTTCATCTAGATAAATGAAGGTTAGGATGCAATTAGTGCATTAATGATGAGCCAAATCGGTCTTGATCTTGCAGTCTTGGTGTCGGTTTTGCGAAAATGCAGGGAACAAGGTGAACACTGTCTATACTAGTAATACCAAGACCAAGATCAAGTCGGAAAAACAAAAAATTATTACTTCCCGTTGATTTATGAGTTAAACCATTTGAAGCAACTTTAATATTCATTTCGAGGAACAAAAGATTTTTAGTATTTCAAATTTTCAGTTTTCTTTACTAGAATTTAACAGTAAATATAAAAAACAAAAAAGTTTACCACTGTTTCAAAAAAGGATTCTTTGTTCCTATGTCTGGTTAACACATAGTTGAAATATAGAGACAAACTATTTTTTTTTTTAATATTCTTTACTTCTTTCAAGAATTATGCACACTTTTTTTTGCTAATTTAAGTGTTAGAGGAAGGAATAATTTATGTATCGTAGGAAGGGTAAGTTCTCGAGTTTTCATAACTCTCACAACTACATACACATTTTTCTTTAATTTAAAAGTCATGATAAACTCGCATGTATTATAGAAAATTTCAGCATCTAAGACAATTATTGTGTCGGTAAATAAAAAAAGTGTAAAAGTAAAAGTGTAAAACATAATATCACATTAAATGTACAAGACCAAGCCTTAACACTGAAGACCAAGACCGAATAAGTAAGACTAAGACTAATACCAAGACATTCATAAAGTAGGTATGTGAATTCTGAATTAATTATGAATATTCTAAAACCTTTATTTCATTAAAACTAATAATCTAATTTAATCTTACAAAATAAATATACCGAAATAACAAAATAAATTTGATTTGTTGTTTATTATCATGATGTTCCTTCTAATTTCTTTTCTTGAACATGTAGTTTCTTTTTAAAAGATATAATCAATACCTACTTAACTAGTATTCTATTTATTTTCCTTACATGCATCTTCATGCAGAACTGGTAGGTTTTTGTCGCGCAAATTTGTGTGGTAGTGAGTCTCGGCTGGACCTGCATCAATGACTCCGCGGGTATCGGTATCGATCGCCGCTTGCGGCATTGGCATAACACGTATGATTCTGCCTATCCTTTTAGTTATTTTCTTTATTTCACTTTTTACCAAAGATATCTTGCCTTGCTTCCAGGTTCTCTTCTTGCATCTTTTAACTTTCTTAAGAACTTCAACTCTGACTTTTGCTTCTCTTTCTCGTTCTGTTTCATTCGAAACATTCTTTACGATTGGTAATCTTCTGTTTCATTCTTCGTTCAACCGGTCACCCTAATCAAGAAAATCATTTGTGACTTTTCTTCTGTCTTATACATGTATTAATAAATTTCAACATTCGAATGTTACAGATCCTTTCTCTGCATCATTAATTTTTTCTTCCAATTTCATTACTCCCACCTTGACATTACTTTTCGGAAAAAAACACATGCCGAGTATTAATAAAAATCTAATTACTGCACAGGCATGTCTCGTTATTCAATTTCTCTTCACAAAACCGTTTTTAAATTACCTAAATGAAAAACCTACTTTTAATACCCTTCCAAATGAATTCACTGTCACATGCAATGCATACGTGAAATAATTTAAACAACGATAAGCAGAGGTGTTCCAGTTGTTCCATTCTTTTTTCATTGTCTTCGTTTCTGTTTTCCGTAGTATCAACTGCAAAACATATTCGTTTCGGCTATTTGTTTCTCACTCAAAAAGGCCTAATAAATATTCATCTGAATAAGTTAGCTTTACTGCTTGAATTCACAGTAACAGCCGTCATATTGTTTGCCTTAATATACTCGCTGAAGGACGACTAAATATTCGTATCGATATTGAAACATATGAAAAATATACGTAATGATTTACATGGACGTATATTTCGGATTTTTCGTCAATTTCTGATGTAAATATTCCTGATTGCGTTATATTATTTTTTCTTTTTGTTTGTTTTTACTTACAATTCTAAAGTAAATTGTACTTTACACTATGAAGAATCAAAACTATTCACATCACAATTATTGATGAAAAAATGGATTGGGACCAAAGGAACCAAATTGGGACTATCTAAAAATATTTATATTTATTGAAGTTGCACTTCTTTTAGCGCGTTTAGTAACATTTTACGCAACGGAAGCTGCGCGCGCAGTATGCTACGGAAGCTGCGCGCGCAGTATGCAACGGACGTTGCCCGCGCACTGTTCAACTGTCAATACAACTATAATCAAAACTATTGTTTAAAGAAATATATAATCATTGCTTCTCTTTGTTGTTGTTTCAGAAGCACGGAATCCGTTTGAAGTGTTCCGCTTGCAATATTGTTGCCCATCAAAAATGCATTCCCATATTGCTGGAACGAATACGTTTCACTTGCAAGCCCACCTTCAGAGATGTCGGTTTAAGACAATATCGAGAGCAATCTAACGTGCAGCACCACTGGGTCCATCGGCGGTCAGAGAAAGGGAAATGTAAACAATGCGGAAAAGTAAGTTTCCATTCCTGTGGTATTTTTAATATAAAATAAAATTTGTTATTGTGATAACTTGCGATCATATATGAAAGTAAAAGTCCCTAATCCAAACGTAAAATAGATTTAATCCTTTGTTTTGTAACATAGTAGAGTAAGAGTATATTTGGGAACTTATGTTATGGGATACTTTGGGGACTCTCCAGTTAAGAGTAAGACAGAATAAATATTAAAATTTTGAATTACTGATACCATATTATTGTCTAAAACATTTAATTGTGTAGTTTTTTGAATTATTATATATGATTGGTTAATAGGTTTAATTATCAGCATATATTATTAGGTATCTATGTTTTTAGACATTAAATTGTTATTTACCATATATTCTGTCAGTGCTACTTTTTAAACTATAAATGGAAGACGCATTCAACATAATTAAAGACAGGACAACAGTAGGGATAGATATAGAGGGGCAAAAGATTAGTATGCTTAGATTTGCAGATGATATAGAAGTACCTATTAGCATCTAGCAAGAACGAGTTAGAGATAGCTTTAAATAAAATGGAAGAGCTGTTGACAAAACAGTATTGTATGAAAATAAATAAAAGTAAAACAAAAATATTGCTAGACAAGGGTAGAAATAGTAGGGAAAGAGCGAATGTAAAGATAGGAAACGAAACATTAGAAGAAGTGGCTGATTTTAGGTATCTAGGAAGTCAGATAACTCAGGACGGAAGAAGTAGTAAGGATATAAAGCAGAGGCTAGCGCAAGGTCGAGTCGCCTTCAATAAAAAGAAGTCACTTCTATGCTCGCGAACGATTAATTTAGAAATTCGAAAAAGATTGTCAAAGGTGTATATTTGGAGCGCGGCGGAAAAGAAAAGGTTAGAAGCATTCGAAATGTGGTGTTACCAGCGAATGATGAGATGGATAGAGAAGGTTAGAAATGAAGAGGTATTAGAAAGAATAGGAGGAGAACGGAGGACTCTATGGAAGTCAATAAATAAATAGGCGAGATAGGTTGGTAGGACACCTTCTCAAGCATGAAGGTCTAGGAGTTAAGAGGAGTAGAGGTAGACCTGGATTAGATTACTGTTCGCAAATAGTTAAGGATGTGAGATATTCTAGTTTTAAGGAAATGCAAAGATTAGCTAATGATAGGAAAAAGTGGAGGTGCATGTCCAACCAGTCTGATGACTGACGACCTTATGATGATGATGATGAGTATGATGCAGTACGGAATACGGGATTCCAATAATTTTATTACTATTGATCTTACCGGTATTTATCGGTCTGTTCATGTCTGCCCGAAGAAGTCATTTGCACACGTCAGAAATCGTGAAAATGAGTATCAATAAAATAAAAAACAATTTCAAACTACCTGCAGTTGTTTTAACTTTTTCTGATTTTGTAATAAAACGTTATCTATCCACTTAAACGAATCTATTAATTTTTACTTTGAAAAGTCTATAAACTGCTATGCTACATTCTCGTTAAACTTTTATTAAGTACTTCAATGTAGTGCCCATAATTTAATGCGGTGCTCGTATTTTCTTGACAAAGCAGTCGCAGAAGTTGGGAAATAATGGAAAAGTGGGTTGTAAAATTACACAAAAGTAACTATTTACCTTTCAGTTCCCGTTTTAAATATTGCGTATAAAAATACGATTTAAGAATCAAATGAATTCCGTCCTGGCTTCGGTCTAAACAAAATTTAGCATTTAAAAAAGCCAGTTGCGGAGCGGTTTCTTCCACTAAACTGTTCTGAAATTAAGAAAGTTAGAAAGACGTGGAGCTTCCAACTCCGGTCAAGTATTAAGTTAACTGTCTATTCAATTTACTTAAAAAAATTCAAACTGTCTCTCAAGGCTTTTGTTATGCAAATCATCTTGGAAAAAAAAGCTGCCGGAAAACATCGATCAACTCGAAAGTCATCCGTTCAATTTTGAAAAGTAAAATGGTTCACTCTTATTTCTCTTCGACATAAAAACTACTATGTCAATTATCAATATGTTCGAAGAGTTCTCGGTGTACAGGGTGTTTCTGAAATAAGTATTAAGCTTTGGAGGATGTTAACTATAGTATAGTCGAAATAAGAAGGCAAAGTCCCCACTAAATAATGCACACTAAAGGCATATCGTTTTTCTCGTTCTTACAAACGGAAGATATCCTGTCTTTACTCTCTAAACACACCTCCTCCACAGCTGCGTCGAGGCCTGCACCTACGTTTCATAAGAATCAATCGAATAGAATGAGACGATCGACAACATGATTGTCTTGTCATTTGTACCTACATAAAATGGGAAAATTTACAGGGTCGGCTTAATTTAGTTGGTGTATTTGTGCGAATAGTCATCTCTCTAGAGAGTAAAGACAGGATATCTTCCGTTTGTAAGAATGAGAAAAACGATATTCCTTTAGTGTGTATTATTCATTGGGGACTTTGCCTTCTTATTTCGACTATACTATAGAAGCAACAAGGAATCGCATGGTGAGTAAAGCAACGATAAAATAATTTGTAAGAAAACTTGACGAAGTTGCAATCCAAAGCCGGTCCTGGGCGTGAATCAACAACAGCTTACCAGGTACATCGATGAAAAATGTAAACAGTGACAATTGTGGAATGACTAATACAACAGCTTACTACGTACTAAGCTACTGTACTTAATAACCTTTAGACGTCTATTGCCGTAACAGTGCACTAGCACACTGACCTACTCGTAATGATTTGGTCTTTCTACATGCAAACGTAATACGAGCTTAAAACTTTTAAATAACAAAGAACTACTCCAGGCCAACTGTAAACATAAACATCGGCAATCACGCTTAATCTACGCTGATTCAATGCGGCGTTACAATGTCGTATTTCAATGCGTGACTCTACCAGGGTCGGACTGGCCCTTTCCTGTACATTCGAATACGGAGAATTTTGGACACCCAAACCTTTACTTAATTTTCTTGTTGCTTGCTACTTATTTCAGAAACACCCTGTATGTATAAACGCTCCTTTTGGTCTGCAGTTAAACTTCTATTGGTCATTTTTTCAAATATTTAACTTTTTAACTAAATATGGGGCCATTCAAAATCAGACGTAAAGTAGTTTCCTTGCAAATATAATTTGATCTTAAATATGGAAAAGTAATTTCCTGCAGAAATGAATTGTAAGAGGTAGAAGTTTTTTAAAAGTTGTCAAGGCAACGAGACCCATACAAGTTGACTTATTATCTTACGTTCCTGGATTCTAAGAAAGTCTGAGAAGTTTAAGTAAAAACGATGAAAATACAATTTCATTTAGTTTTTCAACATGATTAACCACATACATTTAATCCAACGATATTTATCAACGTTAAATTCAGTTCTTTGTAACTAAACCAAATAATATAACACATGTTTTGACGCCCAAGATGTCATTCTCAGTTACAAGTTTAGATTTCTGAACATAGTTATCGTATTTTGTGAAAGTAACATAGTTTCTTTCAACCACAATCTACTTTCTTAGGATAGGAAAAAAATAACGACCACAAGAAACTAAAACTGAGGTGGATTTTATACAAATCCAGACCTTTTGGTGCAATTTTCAAAAATAATACTCTTCTACTCCTAGTCGAAAAGTCTCACCCGTTTTTAATATGAAATTGATAATTGCAACGTTTTACTCATATCTCATTTTGATCTTCTGCTCATATAGGTAGATGTATGTATATATAAAGTTTGTCCATAATCTGAACGATGTTGAAATCTCATGCTTAGCTCTCCGACTAGTAAGCTATGCTTTGTAAATTAATAGCTCATTCTCCTTCCAAACGTAGAAACGCAATTGTTGACGTAGGTACCTATTCTTCTGTTGCATTTATTTGAGCTTTATCGCTTCTGAACCGTTTTCTCCTGCTTTCAAGCAAAGTCACAATGTTTAGACTCGGTAAAAGGTTCCATTAAAGAGGAACTTTGCAACGATTCAACCTATTTCTATTACACATCCCTTTTTTGTTCAGAAGACGTGTTTTATGTAAATTGCCAAGAAAATTTTTCACAATGTGAGACGAACCTGTTTTCAGAATACACATTCCCTTCTATAAAAAATTATTTACGTTCCTGAATCGCAGCACCGTAGAGAAGTAAATATTAATAAGAGAGTCAGGCAAGAATGCTCACTGTCACTGCTACTTTTTAATATATACATCGAAGACGCGATTAACATCATTATGTATAGTACAACTGTAGGGATAAATATAGAAGGGCAAAAGAAAAGTATGCTTAAATTTGCAGATGATATAGTACTATTAACATCTAGCAAGAAGGGACTAGAGATATCTTTAAATAAAATAGAAGCGGTATTAACAAAACAATATCGTATGAATATAAATAAAAGTAAAACAAAAATACTGGTGTGCAACAGAAGAAAAAGTAGAGAAAGAGCGAATATAACGATAGACGAAAAATTAGAAGAAGTCGTTGATTTTCGGTATCTAGGAAGTCAGATAAGTTAGGGCGGAAGAAGTAGTAGGGATATAAAGCAGAGGATAGCGCAGGGTTGAGTCGCCTTCAATAAAAAGAAGTCACTTTTATGCTCGCAAACGGTTAATTTAGAAACTCGAAAAAGATTGTTAAAGGTTTATGTTTTCGCGCTGCGAAAATGAAAAGGTTAGAAGCGTTGGAAATGTGGTGTTACAGGCGAATGATGTGGATACCGTGGATAGAGAAGATTGGAAATGAGAATATATTAGAAAGAGTAGGAGAACAAAGAGCGCTATGGAAATCAATAAGAAATAGGCGAGATAGGGTGGTAAGACACCTTCTTAAGCATGAAGGTCTAGTCAGAGACATATTAGAAGCAGAAACTGAAGTTAAGAGGAGTAGAGGTAGACGTAGATTAGATTACTGTTCACAAATAGTAAAGGATATGGAATGTTCTAGTTTTACTGAAAAGCGAAGATTAGGTCAGGATAGGAAAGAGTGGAGCTGAAACGCTAAGCGAAAGGAATATATTGTCATTAACTGACCGTAAAATTCATTGAGCAAATATTGTAGCCCATTCAAATTTTGTTTAAATTTAGGAGAAAAAAAAATCCAACCCAGTTATATTTTAACTCCGTAATGAATTTTCGATAAAATTCTCGATGTACTGCATAAAATTAAACCGGAAGTACTACTAATAACAAAAATACTAATAGACTGAATTTTGAAAACAAAACGCTCAAACCCAACAGTTATGTTTCATAGAAGATCCAAAATCACAATTCACTTTACAGTTTTTATATTTATTAAATTGTCAAGTCACAGTTAAACATAGTAAAATATTTCCATATTGAAGTAATTTCTACGAATTCCTTATAAGTTGCATGAGCATACATTTTAAGAGTGAGCATTATCATAACACATCAGTCCCAAAACTCATTGGACACACCTCTAATCGTTCCTATCCTGAGAAGGTTTTTGTATTTTCTTTTCAAGTATAATCTGATCTATCCAGGTCTTCCTTTACCTTCCTTAACTCCTGCTTCTTCTTCTAATATATCCCTAGCTATTCCTTCATGTTTTCGAACACGTCTTTCATGTCTCATATCCTATTACACGCCTGACGCTGGAAGCTGGCGGAAATTTTAAAATGGCATGGATGTGCGGTGGCAAAAGTAGGCAGTTTTAGGTATAAATATTGCAGCCCTCATTCTTCAGTATTCAGATCAGGGGCGTAGATTAAATATTTAAAAATAGGGATCAGTGAGCAAGTAANATGACGCCGCGGGTATCGGTATCGATCGTCGCCTGCGGCATTGGTATAACATGTATGATTCTGCCTATCCTTTTAGTTATTTTCTTTATTTCACTTTTTACCAAAGATATCTTGCCTTGCTTCCAGGTTCTCTTCTTGCATCTTTTAACTTTCTTAAGAACTTCAACTCTGACTTTTGCTTCTCTTTCTCGTTCTGTTTCATTCGAAACATTCTTTACGATTGGTAATCTTCTGTTTCATTCTTCGTTCAACCGGTCACCCTAATCAAGAAAATCATTTGTGACTTTTCTTCTGTCTTATACATGTATTAATAAATTTCAACATTCGAATGTTACAGATCCTTTCTCTGCATCATTAATTTTTTCTTCCAATTTCATTACTCCCACCTTGACATTACTTTTCGGAAAAAAACACATGCCGAGTATTAATAAAAATCTAATTACTGCACAGGCATGTCTCGTTATTCAATTTCTCTTCACAAAACCGTTTTTAAATTACCTAAATGAAAAACCTACTTTTAATACCCTTCCAAATGAATTCACTGTCACATGCAATGCATACGTGAAATAGTTTAAACAACGATAAGCAGAGGTGTTCCAGTTGTTCCATTCTTTTTTCATTGTCTTCGTTTCTGTTTTCCGTAGTATCAACTGCAAAACATATTCGTTTCGGCTATTTGTTTCTCACTCAAAAAGGCCTAATAAATATTCATCTGAATAAGTTAGCTTTACTGCTTGAATTCACAGTAACAGCCGTCATATTGTTTGCCTTAATATACTCGCTGAAGGACGACTAAATATTCGTATCGATATTGAAACATATGAAAAATATACGTAATGATTTACATGGACGTATATTTCGGATTTTTCGTCAATTTCTGATGTAAATATTCCTGATTGCGTTATATTATTTTTTCTTTTTGTTTGTTTTTACTTACAATTCTAAAGTAAATTGTACTTTACACTATGAAGAATCAAAACTATTCACATCACAATTATTGATGAAAAAATGGATTGGGACCAAAGGAACCAAATTGGGACTATCTAAAAATATTTATATTTATTGAAGTTGCACTTCTTTTAGCGCGTTTAGTAACATTTTACGCAACGGAAGCTGCGCGCGCAGTATGCTACGGAAGCTGCGCGCGCAGTATGCAACGGACGTTGCCCGCGCACTGTTCAACTGTCAATACAACTATAATCAAAACTATTGTTTAAAGAAATATATAATCATTGCTTCTCTTTGTTGTTGTTTCAGAAGCACGGAATCCGTTTGAAGTGTTCCGCTTGCAATATTGTTGCCCATCAAAAATGCATTCCCATATTGCTGGAACGAATACGTTTCACTTGCAAGCCCACCTTCAGAGATGTCGGTTTAAGACAATATCGAGAGCAATCTAACGTGCAGCACCACTGGGTCCATCGGCGGTCAGAGAAAGGGAAATGTAAACAATGCGGAAAAGTAAGTTTCCATTCCTGTGGTATTTTTAATATAAAATAAAATTTGTTATTGTGATAACTTGCGATCATATATGAAAGTAAAAGTCCCTAATCCAAACGTAAAATAGATTTAATCCTTTGTTTTGTAACATAGTAGAGTAAGAGTATATTTGGGAACTTATGTTATGGGATACTTTGGGGACTCTCCAGTTAAGAGTAAGACAGAATAAATATTAAAATTTTGAATTACTGATACCATATTATTGTCTAAAACATTTAATTGTGTAGTTTTTTGAATTATTATATATGATTGGTTAATAGGTTTAATTATCAGCATATATTATTAGGTATCTATGTTTTTAGACATTAAATTGTTATTTACCATATATTCTGTCAGTGCTACTTTTTAAACTATAAATGGAAGACGCATTCAACATAATTAAAGACAGGACAACAGTAGGGATAGATATAGAGGGGCAAAAGATCAGTATGCTTAGATTTGCAGATGATATAGAAGTACCTATTAGCATCTAGCAAGAACGAGTTAGAGATAGCTTTAAATAAAATGGAAGAGCTGTTGACAAAACAGTATTGTATGAAAATAAATAAAAGTAAAACAAAAATATTGCTAGACAAGGGTAGAAATAGTAGGGAAAGAGCGAATGTAAAGATAGGAAACGAAACATTAGAAGAAGTGGCTGATTTTAGGTATCTAGGAAGTCAGATAACTCAGGACGGAAGAAGTAGTAAGGATATAAAGCAGAGGCTAGCGCAAGGTCGAGTCGCCTTCAATAAAAAGAAGTCACTTCTATGCTCGCGAACGATTAATTTAGAAATTCGAAAAAGATTGTCAAAGGTGTATATTTGGAGCGCGGCGGAAAAGAAAAGGTTAGAAGCATTCGAAATGTGGTGTTACCAGCGAATGATGAGATGGATAGAGAAGGTTAGAAATGAAGAGGTATTAGAAAGAATAGGAGGAGAACGGAGGACTCTATGGAAGTCAATAAATAA